TCCAACCCCAGTGTGCTCCAGGGCCTGCTCCGCATCATCCCATACCTTTCCTTTGGAGAGGTAGAGAAAATGCAGATCTTGGTAGAGCGATTCAAACCATACTGCAGCTTTGACAAGTATGTTGCTTGTATTTCACACAGCTAAGTAAGCTATCACTAGTACTGTGGGACAGGAAAGAGTCACCTGAATTTCTGTGAGATTTTTGTTTACTCGATCTGACTTTTAAGAGGCCCAGTCTAGTTCGGGAGTCAATATTTTATTTTAATTTTTTGGTGGGGGGAGGCAAGGACTTACTCTGTTGCCCAGTCTTGAGGGCTGTGGTATCATCCTAGCTCACAGCAACCTCAAACTCCTAGGTTCAAGTCATCTGTCTGCCTTGGCCTCCTGAGTAGCTGGGACTGTAAGCATCTACCACAGTGCCTGACTAGGTTTTCTATTTTTAGCAGAGATGGGGTCTTGTTCTTGTACAAACTGCTCTTGAACTCCTGAGCTCAAATAGTCTTCCTGCCCTGCCCTCCCAGAGTGCTAGATTATAGGTGTCAGTAACTGCACTCAGCTGAGAGCCAATATTTTAAATAGATTATATTAAAGTAATAGCTGGGCAGACAAAGTGAAGTGGTTGGTGAGGTGGGAAGAGGGTGTGATGGGATGGAGAGAGTCATGTGTGCAAAAGTGTGAGAATGCAAGAGGGGGCCTTGAGTTTGGGGATTTGGCAGGTAAGAGGAAAGTGGCAAGAGCCAAGACAAAAGGGTCTTTCTGTGACTTCAGGGAGCTTAGACCTGATGGCCCTATAGGAGGATTGGTGACCAAGAGGACAGCATGATTGGTTTCTGTTGGGCCTTTCACATCCCCAGACTCATTCTCTGTCCTCTTAGGTATGATGAAGATCACAGTGGTGATGACAAAGTCTTCCTGGACTGCTTCTGTAAAATAGCGGCTGGCATCAAGAACAACAGCAATGGGCATCAGCTGAAGGATCTGATTCTCCAGAAGGGAATCACCCAGAGTGCTCTCGACTACATGAAGAAGCACATCCCCAGTGCCAAGAAGTAAGAAGCACCATCTTAGAGAGGCTGCTTTATTTCCCCCCGCCCCTTTTTCCTGCTCCTTCATTTAGATAAAGCTTCATGTATGCCCTCTGCTCTCCCTGGGGCCTCCCTCCCCTTCTGGGAACTATCAGTGACCACTCACCACTGCACTGTCCTTTGGGGCTATGGGAAAACAATGGCAGCATTTTGGCTTCTATTTTGAGTACTCTCCTCTATCTGGCTTCTTAGCTAACCGGGGGGTTAGTTTCTGATCCTTTCTAACGCTCTTTGCAGGACACCTTAAACAAACACTGGGAGTTTAAACAAGACAGAATCAATAGCTGGTTTCTAAGTAGCCCTTGCTTCCCTGGCCTGCTAATAAGCCTTCCTTTGCTTTGCAGTTTGGATGCTGACATCTGGAAAAAGTTTTTATCTCGTCCAGCCTTGCCGTTTATCCTGAGGCTTCTTCGGGGACTGGCCATCCAGCACCCTGCCACCCAGGTGAGTAGGCAGCATGCACGTGGACCTTATTTTGCAGATAGGACATACAGTGAGGGAACCATATACTGTGCTGACGAAATGAATGGAACCATCTAATTCACCTTGAGACATGATTTCCCCTAGTACATGAGACTTCTAGAGTAGATAGGTTCATCTTTGAGTAATAAGTAACATTTGTGATTTCCTCATTCATTCCCAAGTAGGGCTTCAGTGTCTCATGGGTGCAGCAGTTGAACTGTGAGAGTTTGGCTGCCCAACTGTAAACCAGATTGGGACATTTCAGGTAGCTAAAAACTTTGTTCTAAATGACCTCCCTCCCTTCCACTCTGCAGATCATTCCTAGACTCTCCCCTCTAGGCTGAGGTGTCTGTAAACTCTTCATGAGCCCTGACTGGCCCTAAACAGGTCCAGGGCTGGACTTTTTTTTTTTTTCTTATCAAATTTTTTGAGATAGTTATAGTTTCATATGTAGTTGTTAAAAAATAATACAGAGAGGGTGGCACCTGTGGCTCAGTGAGTAGGGCGCCGGCCCCATATAGCAAGGATGGCAGGTTCAAACTACAACAAAAAAAATAGCTGGGCGTTGTGGCGGACGCCTGTAGTCCCAGCTACTTGAGAGGCTGAGGCAAGAGAATCGCCTGAGCTCAGGAGTTGGAGGTTGCTGTGAGCTGTGTGACACTACCACAGCACTCTACCAAGGGCAACAGAGTAAGACTTTGTCTCTTAAAAAAAAAATAATGACACAGAGGAATCATACGTATCCTTCACCCAGCCTCTCCCAGTGAGAGCCTCTCGCAGAACTATAGCACACAGCACAAGCAGACTGTTGACTTTGATACGGTCAGAGTGCAGGACAGGTTCATCACCACAGTCCCTCCTCTGCCCTTTTTTAGACACATCGACCTACCCCTAGGTACCCATCAGGAATCTCTGGCAACCACCCATCTGTTTAGCATTTCTATGATTTTGTCATTTCCAGAATGTTGTAATGTTGTATGATTAAGTTATACAGCATGTAACCTTTTGGGGTTGGCTTTTTTTTTTTTACTCAGCATGATTTTCTGGAGATCCATGCAGATTTATTTAACCATTTACCCATTAAAGGGCACTGGATTGTTTTCCAGTTTGGGGCTATAATAAAGCTACTATGAACATTTATGGGCAGGTTTTGGTATGGATGCAAGTTTTTATTTCTTTGTAATAAATTCCCAAGTGTGCAATTAAATTGAGTTGTATAGTAAGTTGCATATTTAGTTTCAGAAGAAACTGCCAGACTAGAATACCATTTTGCATTTCTGTCAGCACTGTATGTGTGATCCAGTTTTTCTGCATCTTTGCCAGCATTTGGTGGCTGTTTTTAATTGTTAGCTATTCCAATCTCTCATTGTGGTTTTAATTTGTATTCTCCTCGTGGTTAGCAGTGTTGGACATCTTTTCTTGTGCTTTAGCTGTGTGTCTTCAGTATAGTATCTGTTCATGTCTTTTGCCCATTTTCTAATTGGATTTTTTTAATGTTGGTTTTCAGAGTCTTTTGGGTTTGATATTTTTCTGTTTATAGTGTTCTACCCTGATGATAGCTCCACCTTCTCATTAAATCTGTCCCGATAACTTATACCAAGAATATGTAACTTGATTATAGCAAAGATTTTTCTTGTGTCTCAATGAAATCTTTATTGTTCTAAACTTCTGTTTGACTCACAGGGCATAGTTATAATTGGTGTGTCATTGTAGAGATCATAAGTTCTGCATAAGTTTTCACACATTATTTCCCATGACATATCTATTTTATGTATGGATAAACCAAGGAATAGAGTTGAGATTTGGCCAAAGGCAACATGATGGACCTACTAGAACTTAGTTGATTTTCAGGCTTAATCTCAGTTACTAGATCAAATTACTTGCTTTAGAATAAGGCTTATAAAGTTAGATACTTGGCATTTATGCTTTTCCTTGAACACATTTATTGAGCACCTATTGTGTACCTGGTCCTGTGCTAGGCTGAGGAAGCTGTCACTGCCTGTGTCTCTTGGGATCTTACTGTCTAATAACAATGGGATAGGTGCAGCATAGACAGGATCAAAGGAAAGAGGACTGTCAAGAAGAGAGCACGGCACCTGCAAAGGCTCAAAGGCAAAAGATGGGTTTTGCAGGGGTCCTCAAACTTTTTAAACAGGGGGCCAGTTCACTGTCCCTCAGACCATTGGAGGGCCGAACTACAGGCCCCAGGATGAGTCAGCTGCTACATAGGACAGGCAGCGATGTCAAAAACACCCAGTGGGCCAGATAAATGTCCTAGGTGGGCCGTAGTTTGAGGACGCCTGGGTTAAGGTATCAGAGTTAATTGGAGTTAGGAGAATAGTTGCTCCCAACTATTGCTTCTATCGTAATCTAGTTGAGAGGAGTGGCAGCCTACACTGGGTACTGGATAGATTCAACAGAGGCCTGGGAGGTAGAATAAATGAGATTTGGACATTGGCTGCTCCTGCAAAGGAGCTGGGCAATCCAAGAACTTTGCTCAGTGTCTGGTGCAGTGGTGCATGGCTGAGCCATTGAAGGAGATGGAGAAGTTGGGAGGCTTGAGGGTTGGGTAGAGGGGAGTTAGATTGCATTGCATGTAGTCTGTTGTCCTAACCAGAGTGTAAGTTCAGCAAGGCCAGGGGCTTTGCTTCCCCAGCACCTAACACACACATATTTTAGAGTATTGAATTTGGGTACCACTGGAAAAGTACAATGAGGTTGAAGTATGGGCTCAGCATTAGAAGCATGAGACATGGGGTAACATGTAATTTTGCTGAAGTACACATTTGAAGCCTGCTTGCTATGAGAATAGATTTATGAGCTAGTGAGTGATCTGAGTGCTGAGCTTTCATATTGCAAGTTAGCGTTGTTGTTTTCAGCTCATTTCCAAATACATGATAATTGCTATCATTTCACCTGAGGAGGTGGTGAGGATTTTAGTGATGCAGTGACATTTCTCAATGAGCTCGCATGGAGAGCTTTTCCCACTACACCTGCCTTCAGCAGTCTGCTATTCTCCCACACCATTCATAGTATGGTGGTATAGCATGGCAACTTCCATCCTTTTTAAACACAGGGATTTCTTTTTAATATCTGTTTTTCTTATCTCCACATCCACTTGCAGTAGTTGTACCTAGGTTGAGAAAACTATGCTGCCAAGTTTGGTGGACCCAGAGTGCTCCCAGATGAAGAGCTCAGGGAGTCCCTTGTGAACCTTCAGGGCCTGCTCTGGCTGCTGAGCTTATCACTCAGGCCTCGTCAGGTGCTGCTCTTATCTTACCACAACATAGGAATCTTCGGGCTCCTTTTCACTGTGCTAGATGCTTTACATTTGTTACCTAATTTTTTTTTTTTTTTTTTTTTTTTTGGAGGCTCACTTTGTCACTCTCAATAGAGTACTGTTGCATTACAGTTCACAGCAACCTCAAACTCTTGGGCTTAAGCAATTCTCTTGCCTCAGCCTCCCTACTAGCTAGTACTACAGGCACCTGCCACAATGCCTGGCTATTCCTTTTAACTTTTTACAAATTCTGTATCTAGTGTTTAGAAAGTATAGAGACCAGCTGTGGTGGCTCATACCTGTAATCCCAGAACTCTAGGAGGTTGAGGCAGGATAGATCACCTCAGCTCAGGAGTTTGAGACCAGCCTGAGCAAGAGTGAGATCCCATATCTATTAAAAATAGAAAAATTAGCTGGGT